TCCCAAACTCCTCTATTTTTTAAAAGTACCATTCAAGGGGCCAGCAGGTGGTGTGGTGGTTAAGGTGCTAGACTCCACATGGTTGACCACAGTTCGAGTCCCAGACCTGGCAACTTGTTTACTCACACACTCTGCTCAAATTTTAATAATAAGAACAATAAATAAAATTAAATGATTCTTTTTTTAAAAAAAAAGCATCATTCAAAGGAAAAAATCTCAGATCTTGAAAATAGTCTCTTATAAACTGTATGAATCATTAATCAGCTCTGAAATTATGGTAGCCAACTTAGCATTTATCAACTTTGTTTTCTGACTGTAGGGTACATGTACTCACTGGAAAGAGACTTGCGGGAGGATGAGAAATCACCTCTCAATCATTTCTCCATTCTCAGGATTTCAGGCACACACGCACATGTGCCCTGGTGTGTTTTTCAAGCTGCCAGTTCTGGGACTCAAACCACACCATTGGCCACATGGGATCAAGCTGCCCCAACACTGACTTTTAAAGCTGGGAGGACCTTTATAACCTAGACCTTTTCTCCATTAATTTTTCCCTTCCTTAGCATTATGATACAAAGTTCAAACTGAGGTGCAGTTCAAAAGTAAAGGGTGAGTTTCCTTCCCCTGCCCCTATTCTCAGACTCCACGTGTCCCATTCTAGAGGCAGCCACATCCCACTTTTTGTGACTCTACAAAATTGATTCTGTTGGGTAGTTGGGAAAATCATGATGCATTTTTGCATAGAAAAATACATCATGACTTTTCCAGTGACCCAACATATTTCCATCTACTGTATTTTTGGCACAACTAGCATAATTCTGCTTTTACTTAAGGTATAGCAGAGAATGTAACTACGTATAGAATAGCCCTCATTCTTTTAATGCTGAATAATAATCTGGTTAGGTAGAATACTTCTATTAATTCCCAAAAGCAAAATTGCCAGGTGAAAGGAGAGTGCTTTTAGATTTTCTATCAGGGACCAACAGATAGCATAGTGGTTATGTCGCTGGACTCCCACATGGCCGACCGCAGTTCAAGTCCTGAACCCTGTGGTTTGAAAATCACATTGGGTGTGTGCTTGTGTCCCCAAGATCTCAGGAAGATAATGAAAGAGAAAGGATTGCAACGTGGCCACCTCCCCTGGGGGGTGATTTCGCACTTTCCCTCTCACTATGTGTCTCTCTTCTGAGCGCACATGTGCCCTAAGACAAAAACCTCTAAAAAATGTTGTTTTTCCATCAGCATCTGCAAATAACACCCATAGGGGTTGTACCAGCATCTATAAAAGTCCCTGTTCCCTACATTGTCACTAACAGGACAAGCCAAAGAGCTGTGTGGGTACTTCTGTGAATTCCATCCTTTGTCTATTTTTTACTTAGATTATTCTTTTCCTCATTCATCCATTCGTAGAAGTCCTTTGTATATGAGACACAAATGTCCATTCCCATTTGTCTCTTGACTAGTAAGATTTCTGTTGTCATGAAGAATTTTTACAAACTTTGATTTGCACTCAGATTTATAAAATTTAAATGGCTTTTGCATCTTACGATTCCATCCCCAATTTTAAAAAGTAAGAAATAGAGCCACTAGATTCTTTCTTTGTACATATTACTGCTAATTTAAATGTTTAGGACTTTTTGTTTTCCTTGTGTTTGTTTGTTTTCTTGCTATTTTGAATCATCTTACTTCCCTGTATTTTTCTATCTGACTAGGGTAAGCCTACTGATTTCTGTAAAAAGCTTTTTAATTGATTCTTGTGAAATTTCCAAATGACCATTCATGATGATAATACTTATTTTAGATCACTCCCTTTTTTTGCTTATGATTTTTGTCTTATCACTGCCTAGTACCCTGAGAAAAGAGTTTATTGCTTTAGTTGAGAGCACTGTTTATTTTTTGCCTTTATGAGAGATTTTTTTTGGACAGTTTTACTGCATTACAATTTGCCCCAAGGTTCAGGTGCATGCAACCATGTCCAGTGTGTTCAGTTCGGTCTGGGAGCCAGACTTAGTCCTCCCACACAGTTTCCAGCTTCAGCGGGAGCTCTTTATTTATTTTTTAAAATTTTGCCAGAGGGGGCCAGCAGATGGCGCGGTGGTCAAGGGCACCAGACTCCCACATGGCCGACTGCAGTTTGAGTCCCTGGACCTGGCAGCTTGCTTTCTCACTTTCTCTCTCTCTGTGTCGTTCTCTCGCTCTCTCTCTCTATCACTCTGTCCCTCTCTGGTCAAATAAAAGAAATAAAGTAACTTTAAAAAAAATTTGCCAGAGGGCACATGTGATTGCCACAGAGAGACCGAGAAAGAGGAAGAGGAAGAAAGTATCCCCACATGGGGCATGATCGTGCTGCAGTCCCTTTTCCATTTCTCTGTCATGTCTGGATTTTGGGAACACATGCACATGTACCCGGCATGTTTTACAAGACACCAGAGCCAGGATTCGAACAGCATGGTTGGTCATGTGGAATCCAGCTCCCTTAACCATGAACCAGTGCAGGGAGCTCTCCTTTTTGTTTGTTTTTTGGTTTGTTTTTTTTTTTTAAGTTTTGTTTTTAGAGAGTTTTGTTTTGTTTTTTTTTGTTTATGTTAAGGTAAACCATCCAAGCAGTTTTTATTCATTAATATTCATAAATACACACAGCAGTTTCATCAGAGATTTCAATTTTCCTCTTCAGTTTGAACGTGGAGTATTAAGAGAGCCGTTGCATGTCAAGGTACAGGAAGCAGAGACCACCCCTGCACTGCTACCTACATGTACCTGCTAGAGTAAACATTAGTTAAGTGGAAATGATTATCATATATATTTTCTCTCTTCCTTTTGAATGTACACAATGTAACAAGAGTGACAGACCTGAAATTACAATCACCAAACAAACCCAAGATAGTTGTTGTCCACTTTCATTGGCAAATACAGCACAGAGGACATTGTCTGCGAATTGGGATGTCATCAAAGAGGAGGTGGTGGAGGCTCGTTTCCTTTATTACTCTCTTTTAAATTTAGGTTTTCTAAAGCAACATCTAAAGGCATAATATCTACACAGCCCATAGCACAAAAATCTGCCATCTCCCCCCGTTCATCCTCGTCTGAGGACGAGCTCTCTTCGCGCACTAGGGTGGACAGAAGGAGCTCTTGGACAAACAGGCTGCGGTCTGCGCGCTCGCTTTCCATGGACTGGCGCTCCGTTTCAGACATTTTAGGATCATTCAACCTTGTTAAGAGAAACTGGGCATTCTTTTTTTTCTTCTTCTTCTTTTTTTGGAGAGGGTTTTTTGCTATAGGGCGCGTGCGCTCGCCAGACAGAGAGACAGAGGGA